TGCCCAAATTTGGAATCTCATTTCCAAAAGTGAAGGCAGCTGGATCAGAAATCAGTACCTCAAAGCCAGATGTTGACGTGACATTGCCCGAAGCAACATTAGAGACCCAGTTACCCAGTACTGAATTGGAGGCACCTTCAGTTGAGGGGGAAGTTGAAATACCTGAGATGGATGTTAAAGGAACGGATGTAAAGATCAAGAAACCAAAGATTTCATTTCCGAAGTTTGGCTTTTCAAAAACAGAAGTTAAGGTTTCTGAGTCTGATATTCCTAAAAGAGAAATAACTCTTCCCCAGGTGAATGTAGAAGTGGAAGCCCCCAAAGTGGACATAAAATCTCCAGATGTAGATGTTAAGGCAGATGCTGGCATTGGAGATTCTCCCAGCAAATTCAGGCTACCAAGTATTAAACTTCCTAGATTTGGAGCAACAAAAGGCAAAGTTGCTGGTGTGGACGTAAGTGCCGACATTAATGTACCTGAATTTGAGCTTCCATCAGATGAAGTTGCAATTGAAGTTAAGGCCCCTGATACTGAGCTTGAGGGCCCAACTATGACCATCTCAGTGCCTGGGGCAAAGACAGAGGTACAATCTGACATTTCAGACATTGAGAGTACAAGAACAGAACCCCACACCTCCCCAAGTAAATTTAAACTCCCGACTTTCAAAATGCCAAAATTTTCCTTCTCACCAGTAAAGAGAAAACCTAGTGACGCAGAAGCAAATGTTGAAAAAACAGATACTGATGATAAAATTCCAGAAATCACACATGAAAGTGTTGAAGTGGACAAGAAAACCATTGATGCTTCCACAGAGAAAACATCTAGTTTCAGCCTCTCATTTCAGAAACCTAGAAGTCGAGATATGAGCCCCAGCACACATTCAGGAAAGCAACCCCCTTTAGGCTCTGACAAAACTGAACATCACACAGGTGAAATATTATTGGAAGCCCCTGGAGAAGGTAAAGGTCATCTTCCTGAAAAAATCAAGGAACCCGAAAAATCATCCAAATTTAGTCTACCTTCATTTGGTGATATATTCAAGGGCCTAGATCTTGAGTTTCACGTTCCCACATTAGAAGAAGCTGAGCAAAAGAGGGACATTCTGCCTGGGACTCAAGAGAAGGCGGAAACAGATGAAGACAAAACAGACGCCAAGGAAGAGAAAGGCAGCTGGTTTACATTTCCTACGTTTGGTATGTCCTCACCATCCAAGACACCCAAAGAAACAGAGATAAAAGTCAGTTATCCCAAAGAAAACCTGGACAAGGGCACGGAGGGTGATGCTGCAGAGGACATTAGTCTGACCTCATCAGTGAAATCATCGGATGCATTTGCTGACATTAGTTCCACCATCACAAGTGAGCAGGTTGGCCTTTCAGAGACATCTCCTGAAAAGGTTACAGTGAAATACTCCGAACCATCTGTCATTGTGGGGGTTGGACAGGTTAAAACACCCAGTGATGTTATTACCTCCACGGCAAGAACTGAACTCATTCGCCTGGAGCCACAGTTGCCTGATCCGGTCACTGTATGTGTCACGTCACCATCACAGGACACCCTGACAGACACAGGGGACATTCACATCGTTACGTCAAACATACAAGCACTACCGGGGACTGAACATGCCACGATTATTACCAAGTTTGAAACAGTAGAAACCGTACCATTGGGCAGAGGCTCATTTAAAAGTGCTGCCGCGCCTTGGACTGTCGAGGCACCTACTGAAAGTGCCAAGGAGTCCTCCGGAGAAAAGGTGGTCGTGGAAAAGCATGTAATAAAAGAGAAGATGGTTGATGACAAGGGAACCGTCGTTATAACCGAGAAGGTCACTCATGCTGCCCATGCAGTTTCCGAGGACCCTGATGGGAAAGATGCCACTTCTGCTGTCAAAAAGCTGAAAGATACTATGCACTCTGAGAAAATGAAGTTTTTTGATGCCGCAGAAACATGACCGCTCTCTACTAAAAGAAGATAGAAGGGTCTAGTGCAAATTCCTGCCTTCTTATAGACCCCACTTTGTTCACATATCTATAGTCTATCATTTATGCAAGTATATAGATATATCTGCTACTAGATCAGAATAACTAACTGTAAAGTTTTTTCACTTGCAAAAATGCCGAAATATATTCATCTGTTTTTTCAGCTGAGGGCAGCAGTCATTAATGCAAATTACAAATCCACTGCCATAGTAAGCATAACAACTGGCTTGGAAACTATTTTATTGGTATCAGTTTTTTATATAGGTTATTTTGGGGTAAATGTAAGTAACTGACTGGTTTTTAATTTTAAGCTTCACTAAAATTATTAACTGAAATGACATGCACACTAACATACTTTGAAACAAAACAAAATTGTAAAATTACATTAAAAAATCATGGGTAGCTAAGGATTAACCTATAGAGTATGTTTATTCCGGCTAAAATATCAGACACTATAAATTAACTGCGAAGTGCAAAAGTGCAAAATAAAACATCTGTAAATATATCTTTTATTGATCATTTGCAGGTTTCATTTTTGGTTCCGGTTGTTTGTATTCCCACATATCTGATGTAATCAATGTATTTGCACATAAAAATAATAAATGTTGAAAAACATACTGTACCCCAGTTTCAGAGATATTACTTATCACTTCAGACTGACTTTTCATCTTGATCAGTATTTAATAGTACAGTATTACATGTAGATTACATCTTCATGAACAAAATCATGTTTCCCTAAGGGAGCTTTGGATCCTGAGAATTAAAAATGTTGCTCTGCAGAAATATAAAAATTTAATGGATACATCATAATTACTTTATATTATTAAATTATTTTTACATCAAAATACTACATCATGCAGAGTAACACTGAAGTACTACCACATTATTTGCAGTGATGCTCTGGTATTCAGAAAGCAATAGACAACAGTGAAGAGTGTTGAGGTACGGAATGATTAAGACCAACATACTTTTCTGTTGAGGTATGAGCCCAGAAAAGGCTGTGTATCCCCCAAGCATTGAGGTGTATAACATGAAGGAATCCCAAACGGTGAACACAGTCCAGTGTCTGTTCACTCATGGCACTGTGGGGTATTAAAGCACCACAGGGCCTGAACCTTCTGTTAACAAATGAAATACACACCAATAACAGCCATGGGTTAGGTACCTCCCTCTTTTTTTATTGCCTGCTCAAATACTTGATCACAACTCAATAATTACAAAGGTTTCAACGTGATTTTAAAAAAGCAGTAGTATTTTAACAAATGGAGTCATTTTCAGAGACTGAACAGAGAGAGGGGGGAAATAAAACCTGGGCAGATTACAGTGATGGGTATTAAGTTTACATAAAATCAAGGTTTTCTTAAACTAAAAGAAATGTGCAAGTTTGATACAGTGTTTCTGAAACAGAAAAAAAACACCACAATTTGCAGTGTCACTATTAGCCCGTAATGTTAAGATATATGCAAGTATAGAACTGATGTCATACAGTCTTATAAAATGGCACTGAAGGCACACTAGAGTGACAAACTTGATATGCCAACCATGGCCTTTAATTACATGTCCGTACTCACAAACATCTGGATTCAAATTTATAATACACTGATTAAAATATACACAAAACAGCACCACCTGGTGGACAGGCGGAATAACTGGCGGCAATGAGGACAGGAGCTAGCATTTATGTTCAACACTGTTCCTAAGTGACTAATACAACAAGAGTGGAGCCGAGGGTTTCGGTGAGTGGGATGTTCATGCATTTCTTTACATTTCAATTAAAATAAGCAGCAGTAATAAGAACTGTAGCAATTCCTATGAGAACTCCTGTCTATATTCTGACATCACCGCTAGATTTCATTTGTTTTTAACAGCCATTTTCATCTGTCAGTTAATATGCAGTGTTTCACCTACAAGTAGAACTGCTGCAGAGGTCAGGGCTCGAGTCATAAAACACTAAAAAGCTTCACTTACAGACTTGGTCAAAGGGGAGCCCACAGCAGCCGCATTACCTCAACCGTGACACGTGGCCACCATGCATGTACCCTGCATCAGCCTGCCCCCGTCCAATCAAAGGCGGGACGCCACGCATCAGACACCAACTCCCAGCTCCTGAGAAAAGCTCATCTCCCTTCTAGCCATGTAATGCTCTTTTAACATATTCATACATATACTGTACATTAAAAAAGCCTTTCTTTTCCTTTTTCTGAAATACAAACATCTGTGATAAGGGTATCTTGAACATTAGTGTCATCTTTAGTATTTTATTTTGCCCCCCTCAAAAGATCCCCACATAAATCTCCATCTTCTCAGCGATATTAAATCTATCAAATAAAAAAAAATCTTGTGGGTAAAAAATATCTGTAATAATCTATTGACAGAATGGACATTTTACCCTGAAGCTGATATATGCCCTATGTACCAACAGAGGGCGCCATTTCACATACAGACCAAGGACAATCCTGGCTCAAATCATCCGCGACGTTTCAACACAGTGAGCTGGAGCTGTTGGATCTGAAATCACCCAGGCCCTTTATGGGGAATTAATGTCCCACATTAACAACATCCTTTTCACAGAGTGACATAAAAAAAATAAGCATTTTGTTTTTACATGAAAAGACTTCAGGCTCTCTTTTAAGTTTGTTTTCTGGACAGAAAGAAAAAAAATGGGGGGGAAAAAATTGCCACCAATTTTTGGTTGGGATTGATTTGCAGAGGGGGAGGGGCAAGATTTAACATCGAGTAACCATCTTGAGTAAGGAGCTAGGGAACGTGAAATTAAACTGGGCTGGAGAGGCTCTGAAAGTCGAGAGAGCAAGAGAACAGAGGATCTATTCTTGGCACTTTGAAGCAACAGAAGTTGAATATGGGGAGATGACAGGGAGGCGGCATCAGGCGTCGAAGGTGGTGTGGTCAAGCCCGTCCAGAGTGAGCTGACTGCGGTGGGGTGAGTTGGGGCTTGGGGGGCTGCTGGGGTTGGAGCTGTTGGAAGGGGTTGAGTGCTTGGTGGAGTCCGAGTCAGGCTGGGGGCAAGCAGAGGAGAGAAACATGCTTAGTGCGACGTCCACTGGATAATTCGCTCAGTAGTGCTCTGCATAGCAAGAGATGCCATTTTCCCTTCAGCTCCTGAATGCAGGCCAGGTGACCTTTGACCCCTACCTGCCTCAGCTCACATCGAGCCCCCCCCCACTTCCCTGCATCCTTGCCCTCCCCTTTGCACACATCCCATTGCTTCTCCCCATGGCGACAGACCCACTGCATTCCGCCTTTCCTAACAATACACGGACTACAGCATTCCTGTGTCCCTCGGAGTCTCCTGCATGTTCTGCTTCCAGCTCTGACCTCCACTTCCTTCCAGCTGCTCTCTTTTCCTGAGGTAACCCCCCCCCCCCTTCCCTTGCAGTAAAAATAATCTGATTTGCTCTTCACGCTTCAGCACCCTTTGTTCGGTTCTCGTTAAGCCTTAATTAGGAGAACCAAAAATGCCGTCGTGGAAGCTCATCCCGTGTTACGTGTTTTCCTGCCTGGAGCGCCGCACTCCTGCTTCGCCGGCCCCCTTCCTGCCGGCCTCCCCAGGGAGGCGGCCCGCTGCTCCCCCGACGCACAGGCGATGCCGCGTCACTGCCCTTACCCAGCTATGCGGACCCCCCCAGCTCATGGTCCTATTGTGTTACTGCCCCAACAGCCCCAGCTAATAGTTTTACGCTGGGCAATTCACCACCTTCACATTTATTTTAAATCACAAAACCTGAAGATCGTCAATTATTTCACATGCACAGTCAGAAACTTCCCCAACAACTGTACCTGTATAGCAAGCAATGACATAACCATTTCAAATGGCAATGTCCTTCTCATCACAATATGAATCGTGTCTAATGAATCGAATACTCTTGGTGGACGTTTACCTCTCTTTCAAACTCCTGGTCAGGGTCTGAGATGTGGCGGGACAACCCAGCACCACTGAAGTCCCCGGCCCCTGAAGAGCAGCCGTGAACGAGAGCTTAAGTCAACAAGACCAAACGGAAAGGCTCAATTTGCGACTGCCTGCTATGAACATGAATACACACAAGAGCTCACCTGAGGCGGTTCGCGTATAAGTCTTATTCTTCTGTGAGCGAGAGATGCTGGAGGCAGGACGCACTCTGTCCTTCCCAGAATCCTCCTGGGAGGTTGGAACAACACTCTGTGATGCCAGACAGGGACGTGGTGAGTGGATGCAGTCCAAGGAGGCAGAACAACAAAGACAAACACACAAACAAGTGTACGAATGCACACACACATGTTACTATAACAACCATCAGGCGTTACCATAGCAGCACTTTCATTTCATTGGTTAGTGCTGATGTAACCATGTCAATGTGAAATGTCACCAAGATTATCAGAATTAACCAACCAGCAGTTGCGTTCAGTACACTGTCGATGGAATAACGCAGGGAACAAAGACAGACCAAGTCTTCATTTTTTTTTTTTCCTCCTTGACCTCATACACAAAGCATGAAGACACCGGTGTGGCGAGATGTCCAGCCGGGGAACAGGCTTTCAGACAGATGTGACCGAACGACCAAACTTCGTCGATCGTTACAGTACACCATGTGACAGAGGGCAAAGGTCACTGACAGAAAGGTAGACTAGAATGGGAAGGAGGGTCAAGGAGGTGATGAGGGGAGTGAGGGAACACTAGCCTACCCTTCCTAAGGAGGAGGTGGAAGGAGAGGAAGAAGAGGAGGAGAGCTGGGACAGGCCGTGCAGTGAGGAAGGCTCTTTCTGGAGATAGATTTCGGCAGAGATAGGGCTCATGTGATAGACGTGCTCAAAGTTGGTTGGAGGAGATATCAGGGCATGGTGTCGAGAGGATGAAGGGGAGGGGATCTCACTCTGCTAGGTCACCCGAAGGGGGAGAGAGAGAGAGAGAGAGAGAGAGAGACAGTATTCAGCCCATTCTGAAAGGGACAGGAAACAGGAAGTAACAGAAAAGGGAAAAAGGAACTTGGAAGCAACAGGATAGCCACAGTGTACGTAAATGCCACTGGCGGAGGCAAGGGGACTGTGAGCAGCCCCTATGTCAGCACCACTGCACTCAGTCTCGACTCGTCTTGACTGACTTGTTTTCACACTCGCACACAGACACACAGCTGGTGAGTGACCGGAGTGCACACCTAAAAGAAAACCAGCGAGCACCTCGCCCCCACCGCTCCCCCATCCCCATGTCAATCTGCTCTGCCCCTTAGGTCAGCACACATTACCAGCGGCAGGTCCATCAGAACCTGCATGCCGTCTCCAGGGCCCATGTGGGCCACGTGGTTGAAGTTGGTGGGGTTGGAGATCATCTTGGACCGCAGCTCTGGGTCTCTAAGCATCTCCCTGCGAGGAAAAGCCAAACCGTGTGACGAGCGTGATCATGCGAGACGTGTGAAAAGGTTACGTGCGTGTGTGTGAGAGTTACCTCCTCTGCTGAAGTCTCTCCTCTTCAGGTACTTTGAACAGGAACTTCCTCTTGCTGCGCGTCCTCACCATCAGCTTCCTGCTGTTGTCGAACGTCTCGGGTACGGCCAGGTCTGAGGCCTCTGCAGAAGGGTGCATTCTTCAGGGGGTCTGTTACAGACCTCCCTCCCTCACCCCAACCAGACTCCATGTTTATGGATTTGTAAAAGTGGGAGAGAAGGTAGTAAGACTGCGTACCTGTTGAGCTGTTACTGAAGTACACAAGGCGAGGTTGCTCAGAGGCCAGCAGATTTAAGCTGCCCTCCACGTTGAGGGGGCGAACCTGAGAAGCAGGGGACAGACGTTCGTTACAGTCATCGCCAATAATAATCCATGATGAGACCATATCACAGTGCAGACCTCCCAAGGTAGCCACACGGTGCACATGCCTTTCTTAAAGATATGGTTTGGACCCATTCCATGGTGTTGACGTCGAAGACGTCGACGCCATAGTCGCTGTAGACCGTCAGGTAGGACAGATTTGAGCCTGGAAGACACCAACGGGACATCAAACACGGGTCATTCCTTCTGGTGCCAGCCGCGACATGCTGGGATCACCATCGCACCAGTGATCAGTTTAAAACTAAAGCACATTCCATCAGACACAAACCAGGGAAGTAACCATTCAAGAAGGAAAACGAAAACCCATCACGACTACACCGATTTTAAGTGGCTTCCATATAAACTTGCAGTGGCTGCTGTCATGCACCAATTCTACTCCGCTGATACTATTCGATGTTTATTCAGCCCAACAGCTCAAAGGTCAGGGGAACAGAGCATCTGTATCAGAGGTTATGCCCCAATGGCTGTTGACCAAACACCGATAATATTGAAGGTAAGAGAACATACTGCAGGCGATTGGTGTAGCCGGCCACATGAGCTCCTGGACGCGGGAGCGGCGCCCCTGCAGGTCCACGTAGATGCCCAGCTCGCTGAAGCAGAGCAGGAACTCATTTGTGCCAACCTCGGCCGCGTGCAGGGCGTCCAGAGGCTGCTGGCTGAGGAAGGACAGCGACGGGTCGGTGGGGCCCACCAGGCTGACGGGCGACGACTCCCCCTGCAGGCTGAGAAGGGCAAAGCCGGATGCGTAGCCCATACACAGTCGCTCGCGCAAGATGCCCAGCCACTGCACCGGGCCCGGCGCCTGCACTTCCCACAGCTTGCGGCATTGCTGCTTGGCGCGTGCCACCTCATAGCACACCACTTGCCGCTTGATGGCAGCCAGCAGGCAGGCAGGCCCCCCGGGTCGTAGGGTGCACGTGGTCAGCGCCTGGCAGCCTTTGGTCTCCGGCAGCTTCAGGTCCAAGCTGCACTCGGCACCCTCCAGCACGGCCCAGGAGTAGAGGTGCACGTGTCGATTGCGGCCACACAGCAAGATTACCATCTTCTCCTTGGGAATCAGCTCGATCTGGTGGACCTTCTTGCAGTCGGCTGCCCGAACAATCACTGGGGAGACACGCAGGTCGCCTCAGACTTACGCACGCACACACAGCCTGCCGACGTCACGTCTATAAACTGGTGAGAGTGGGTGAGGTTGGTTCTCCATGGCTACAAAGTGGTTTTGTAGGCCATTGAATGCTATCAAGCGGCAAGGCAACTTCACATTCAAACAAGCAGCACTTCAAAAGATCAACAAGTCTCTGGAGGAACGGGCAAAAGAAAGTACACAAGGAGAGCGCTCAGCTGACAGCAGATACCTACCATCTCTGGTAACCTCCACGACATAGAGGCCCTCCTCTGTGCCCAGGGCAATGCGCTCACGGTCTGCAGGGGACAGAGGAATGGAGGCGTCAACACAGGTTACTTACCAGGGCTTTTATGAGAGACTCGTAAACGCAGAGGTGGGAATTAGCTGTACGTTTCGTCCCTTAGCATTTCTGTGGTGACATTTGACGGACATTTGACTGAGCCAGCCGCGCCTGTCTCTAAGGCGGGGGCCAGGCTGGCAGACGCCCTGCGCCATCACGTGGCTAATCAGAAGCTGCGAATCTCTAGCCCTTTGCGGTGGCGGTTGTCACAGCATTGAGGTTTTCGCCGGTGTCTTTGAAATAGACCACAGCACTACCGGTAGCGCATCAGACATGCCCGTAATGCCTGTAACAGACCGCTCTCCTGCTAGCAAATTTCACATGCGGCTCGGGGATTAGAGGACAACGTTGCCACGGCAACCTCCAAATGCGCCAAGGCATTAGTCCTGCGGGCTGAATTCAACGCCAGTCACTGAAGCAGCATCAGCCGCAGAACACGAAGCGCATAAACCAGCGTACAGAGCACAGAGGAGCCATCGCCAAGCCAAGCTCACCCACGATGCTGGCGGACAGGGTGGTCTTGATGGCGGGCAGGCTGCTGTCGTAGGCCTCGTGGGCCACGTGCACGGCACGGTTCCTCAGCTTGTTCTTGCTCAGGATGGTCTGAAGGCCCTCCAGGATCCCCACCCACTTCCTCTTCTCCGTCTCGCTCTCCGCCAGCACCAGCAGTGAAGCCGTGCGCTGCGGCGAGCTCAACAACGACGACGTCACCTGTGGCGGGGGAGGGGGGGGGAGACACACGCGGGCAGGTGAGCGTACATAACCACCAGCTGCCGGGAGGCCTTATGAATTCGGAATCGACAGCGGCGGCAGACGGCGCCTACCCGGAATATACAGGGGACGTCTTTTCGAGTGGCATGGATCACGTCTGACGCCAAGACGGAACTCACAGAAAACTCCTCATCTCTGCCAAACACAGGATGAAACGGAACCTGAACACCACCATGCCGACCATGCTGTTAAACACACCAGTACTACAACAGGGGAAGGATGAATCACATACAGGGTAAACAGAGTAAACACAGGGTAACTAGGCATTCTTTTGGCCCAGCCTAGTCGCTCTGATTCCAAGGTCCTTGACAGCATACTTGTATGTATTGTGCTATTGGCCTCAGTTGAATGTCACTTTGGACGAAAACGTCTGCTCAGTCAAAGTAAATGTCAATGTACACCGAGTACGAGATGCCACAGGAGACAAGCTTTCAACCTGTGGAATGTTCTGACCCGAGACCCACCTGTGAAATCATCAGTATCACTGAAACAAGGACAAGATGGCGGGACGCGGCGGAAGCCCACCTGAGGTCCAGCACCTGGCTGGCCGCCATGCCCGGCTGGGTGGACTTGCCCTCAGGGACGTCGTACAGGAAGAGCTTGCAGTCGCACACCACGGCGTAGGCCCGCTGCCAGCCCTTTTTCACCCCTGTAGGTTTGGGGATCTGACAGGAAGAGGAAGATCAGAACCCTTCAGAGCCTTATCCGCGGAGCGGGGGTGGGGGTCGTCTCCACAAGGCCTGATGGAGCTCCATGGGGCTGGTGCACAGAGCTACCCAGGGAGCTGGCTAGACAGCCATTACAGAAGTGACCCGACTGGCTTCAGCAGGGTGAAGTGACCCGACTGGCTTCAGCAGGGTGAAGTGACCCGACTGGCTTCAGCAGGGTGAAGTGAGGGCCCTTCAGATGGAGAAGCCAGCAAAGCAGCTACATGGCAACATCTGAAGGGGACGTTCAGGCCCTCGATTCCACAGACAAGTCTGAACAACCAGGAGAATGTCCAGGAATGTCGACGTTCACATTTCTGTGCATGTGTGGACCGGACTCTACTAAGGCAGTTAATGATTTCCAACCCAAGGAGCTTCTCTGGGAAAATCAAAGGTAGCGGTTTGGTAAAAATTAACCTGATTTAGGTAACTCTGCGTACACAGCATGTGCGTTAAGCTGAGGTGGCGCCCTCTAGCTTCAGACGCCATTTTGTTACAAACCTACAAAAAAAAAAGAAAAATCTATGGTACAAGTTCCCTAAAGCACTGACTTTTAAGAGGGATAAAAATTGAAAATAATGCCTAAAAAGATTCTGGTATGCCAAACCAGAGGATACCGCTGCAAAAAAGCACTGCCAGCCAGACCTAAACGCACAAAGGAAGTAAAAAACAAAGCTTAATGAATAGCTTTTCAGATTCTGAGCTAAGCTATCCATGTGGCTTGTTGGAGTTTTAACTTACACAAAAATGTTCTGAGGGCAGAAAGAAAAATGACTGGTTCAGAGAGAAAACCAATCAGATTGTAGAGGAGGTGGATCCAAGCAAGACTGACCAATCAAGTGTTTTGGCCCCACCTCCCATAGTTGCTTGGACCCACCCCTTCCACAATCTGATTGGCTATATCTCTGAACCAATGATTCTTCTTTCGGCCCTCATACCATTTTTTTGTGCAAGTAAAACTCTCATGGGCATCCATGTGGCACATGGACAGAGAGACTCATGCTGCCTTGAGAAATCCCGCCAGGCCCTCCACTCTGGCCTTTCAATACGGCTCGCTTTGTTATGTCTGGTTTCACCTTATCGGGGAAAAGAATACAGGCACACGCTCAGTTATCAGGCAGCGGCCTCCCCGTGGCACATGGCGGGACACAGATAGAGCCGTTTCGTGTGTCATTATGAGCACTCTGAGGTTCCGAGTCACGGTTCGCTGGCGCTTTATGGGAACCGGCCCCACGGGACACACTGAGGCTTCCATGACGTCCACACAAAGGTTAAGGAGGGACAGTTGAGGAGAAGCAACTGTATCTGAGTGTAAACAAAGAGCCAGAACAACCTGTTTTCGGAAATTCCTGGCCTTCCTAACCACAGAGGGGTGTGTCAGTACACTGTACTCGAAGGGTGACACACTGGCTTTACAGTCCGGCCCAAGGCATGCTGGGATGGGAGTGCACCTGCCACATTCCCATCAAACCCAGGGGAAGGCCATTACATTCAGGCGAATCTTTCAGGCAATGCTAAGGCAGCGTCAGTACACAGCGGTGTTGGTAGGATCACATACCGGAACGGTTCATCAGACGACCACCACAGTCGCCGTGGCGACGACACTCACCCTGACAAAGCCCTTGTAGGCCGTCCCAATGCCCCGCTGCACGTCAATGCCCAGGGGCCGCTTGGCCTGCTCCGGGGGGATGGGGCAGACCTGGGGGGCATGGTCCTTGCACGAGACGTGACAGATGAAGGAGCAAACTGCAGGATGACAAAAACAGCATGAGAAGACTATTCACGCGTCTATTTACTTTAAAATGCAGAGGTGGACATTTCAGGTCCAGAAAGTAAAAATCCAACCCAGGATTTTGTTTCAACCAACCAGTTGAGCATAAAGAGTCACAGTCACTCAGTACTCAGCTGGTTGGTTGAAACAAAATCCTGGTCAGGATTTTTACTCTCAGGACCTGAACTGTCCGCCTCTGTTAAAATGAGATGGGAGGAAGGCAGGGCAGACACTTACCTTCACAGGCGTAGCCCTGGCGAATGAGACCCACCATCAGGGAGCTGCAGTGAGTACACTGGGTGGGGCTGGAGAAGGTCTTGATGCTCAGCTGGTGAGCTTTGGGCTGGGGCACGCAGGGACACCACACAGGGACACCACCGTTAGTCACAGCTCATGATTCAGAGCTGAGGCTCTCACAAAGCTGCACCTCAAGCATTATCCATTACAGGTGACGGCCTGGGCTTCAGACGAACCGCGACTCATCCCAGTCAGAGAGGCTTGCAAAGGACCGTACAGAGCGGCGAACTAGGGGAGCACGGTGCTCACACAGCATCCCGAGCAACGTTCTAAGGTCACAGATGGTGCCTACCTTTGGGGAGGTCAAGGCTGAGGACTGGTACACAGAGGGGGTGACCACCGGGGCAGCAGGGGCGGGCTTGTCTGGCTCCTGGGGGGAGGGATCAAATATTCATGACGAATGAGAAAAATCAACATAGGCCTGTTAGAGACGTTAACTTGGAAGCACTATACAGGCAAGACAAGGCAACTACAGTGAATAGGGGCGGCTATGTTTTTTTGACTGGCCACCCATATGTATAGTTAAAGATTCATCAAAAGATATTTTGTCATGAGATAAGAGAGCCTATGAGAACCAGTATTACTTGATTTTTCATAAAATATGCAGTTTTGCCTTCGTACAGCACTATTCATCACTGAATTTAATTAAACTGTAACGCTGATGTGTTTTCATCCCACCATGAAGTCTAGCTTGTCAAAGGTCTTCAAAGTGGGTTTGATCAGGAGATAGAGCTCTGGAGTGGGGGCATTACTGTACTGGAGGTCACTCACGTCCTGCTCTGTAGCTGGCGTGGGGGAGGGAGGGACGTCGGCCTTCTGGGGCACCGAATCGAGCTCAGTGATGGAGCTGGTCTGGGGGGAGAAAAAGAGTCACACTTTGAGACCAGAGATAAGAAAGAAGTCACACAGTTGGTCGTCAGCAGTGGAGGGTGGCTGGGGCACAACATACTCATTTAAAATCTGTTCGTGTCCTGGTACAACAGTTCAACAGCAGGGGGCACCACAGAGCTGGATCAGAGGCAGAGCTCCTTAGGTTTAAGGTGCGTACATGTTCACGCACGCGCACACTGACACACAAACTGAGGCTAGAACCAGGCTTTTGAATTCTGGCTGTACACTTAGGTGGTATATATCTAATGCGCAGCGATGACGTTCGTGTGCTTCAGTAAACCAAGTCCCAGCAAAACCCGCACCAGCAAAGATCCAATGGCAGCTACACACTGGGACAGCTGAGACTCAGGGGTGACTTACGGATGCACATTAAGTCAATCCCCATGTTCTGGTTCCATACCATTTGCATTAACCCGAGCTGCACACTGCACTCGCTAAGGACACTCAGATTACAGACCTCCTGGCCCCATGCCTAACAAACCCAGCCTCCGATGATAAATCGCTTCAGGGGTTCCTCTGGTATGCGAATCACGGTCTGTAAGCAAATCGTAACTGAGCCACATAAATTAGTCATTACGTACGTGAGCACTTGTCAATGGCAGGACGCTAACGAGCTATGTGGCCCATCCAGGGAAGACGACTAATGAGAGCTTAACGGCAAGTTGGGGTGGGGGGGCGGGGGGGGTTAGCGGCTGCGGTGTCAGGTGGGCTTGTGTGACCCCCTCCCTACCCGATAACGATGAAGGTTATGGTGGAAGGGAAGGCTACTTGGTAAGTTTAACTATAAGACTAGAAAATGAAGCACCAGGGGATGGTGACTAGGTGGGGGGGGGGGGGGGCCTGTTTTCAGCCAGACTTACTTCATCCCAAAATGCTAGCAGGGAGGATGCCGACGAGGACGAGACCAAGTCCTTTTTTGGTGACAGACGTGCGAGACAAAAACAAAACCACACTGCCTTGGTTTGTCTTTTGTTTTTGTGCATTTTTAGTTATTTAGAGAAGGGACAGGGCGACCCAGGAATTACACTGAACCCAAAAGGACTTTTTCTTCTCTTAACACTGCAAATCTGCACTTAAGCCCTCATGGACGAGCGGATAAAGCAGCACTTTGGACCTCTGCGGCACCGGAGCTGACCATACCGCCTCCATGATGTACTTGCCTGTGGTCCATCAACACCCCAACACTACACAGAGAAACATATTCCTGTTTTGAGAGACACCTGGGCTGCACCAACATTATGGTCAAAAAGATCCTAACACACAAAAAATTACAGTTTTGCTCTTATGACCCTTAAGCGTAAGTGTAACAATGCTTTCCAGACAGAAGGATCCATTTCCTTGGCTGTGCCAACCACAGTAACTGTGCCTAATCATAAAACAACCCCCAGGGCTTACGAGGGGGTGGGCTCTCTCTAAGGAGGGCTTTGTACAGTATAGCTGCCCTGTCTGACCCCCGCAGAAGGCCGTTTGAAGTCTGCCTGGTGAGAAGGTCCATGAGGCAGATCACAAGAGGGGAGGAGTTGGCCGGGTGACTTGACCTCTGGGGGCTACTCCCTTTGATCTCCCCCCTGGCGTGTGCACATGGGGGGGTGTTGGCAGGTAGTGGGTGCTAAAGTGAGAACCAGCCCCCGGTTCTCCCAAGACAAAGGTTTGCCCAACTTTCTCACTGCCAGAGCACCAATTCTACCTTGTGGGAGGGACTTACTCTGAACGTCAGGTCACGGCCAAGCGAGGAGGTGTTGAAGTACTCAAAGATGGAGTCCTGGAAGTGTGGAAGTTTTAAACCTAGAACGAAATGGTAAAGAAAACGCAGGAAGCACATTCACCAGTGTGTCAAGTACGCTGGTCTGTTGGTCAATACTAGAAGAATCTGGTTACTTCATATAGAAGTTTAGCTGAGATTGTGAACCGTAGCATATGAAGTTGCGTTTCTTTGTAGAAGCAACTAAGAGGTTTTGCTAAACATTTTAATCAGACTAATTAAAGGTTCCCGGCAACTTAGTCATAGCTAATCAGTGACTCAGTCTCTGCACTGCAGCCTGGTCACACCAAAGCCAGAAGCCCTTTACCTTTGTCGGACCGGGACCGGCTGTCCTCCAGGTCCTTCTTCACAGTCTCCAACTGGTCAGCCATCTCCCGGTTCTTGGATTCTGCATCCTTCAGTTTGCTGGGGGTGGGGGGTGGAAGGAGAGAACCATATATAAGCACCGGGGCTATAATTAGGCAAATTTTCAGAACCAAAAGAAGCCTTTGCATGTTTGTATTTGCTTTTGTTCTTGTGTAGCGTAAACAGCAGCCTCCAGAAATGCTATAATCACCGAAAAGGAAATTCACCTCACATGCACCAGCGAAAAGAACCCGGTGATTCCGATTTACATTAAGTGCACCCCCTGCCATTTTTCACGCTTCCGCGTTCGCCGAGAGCTTGATGATAGCTTACTAAGCACAATTATACGAGAAGATCGGCTTTCCCCAGTTCACACTGCCTCAAGCTGCGAGTGGATTCAAAAACAGTGATTTGTCTAACTATCGACCAACCGTGCACTAATTTGTTCTGGAAGCGCAGAGCTAGAGTCCCTCAGATATTAGCTTGACATTCACTCATGCATCAGTTTAATCATAATAACAGAATTCACACTGGGCTACAATCAGGCTCCTGGTGCTGGAACGGTCCATTTAAACTGTCAGCATGGACCTTGCACAGCACACGTCACTGCAGGTCAACACTGCATGTTTATGCTGTTGCAGACAACTGGCTCCCTGAGCTCACAGAGGGACCAGACTAACGGGGATTTAGCACCAGAGGCTCAGAGTGAGTCTGACTGTCCATTTTGACCTCTTCAGAAAAGGGGTCAAAACTTAGAGGCAGGCCTGGGATGAATCACCCAAGCTGGTTGGGGTGCAGACCCACCTTTCCAAGGAGATGTTGGCAGACTTGACCTTTCGTAGGTCTTCCTGGACCAGCTGCTTGGCCCGGATTTCGGCATCCAGTGCCGACTGCAGCTCGAGGCGAGCTGACATATCCAGCTTCTGACTGCGCCGTACTTTCCAAAGGGGGTCCTGGGAGGGAGAAAGCGGGGGGGGGGCAGGGTCATCGAGCTGCCTGGGGTGCTGGCTTCCAGTGGCAGGACTCACTCCCCAGCCAGGAGGACAAAGGCACCGGAGTCATACAGCACAGAAGCTCAACGAGGCCAGTGTTGGTAGACGACCATGGGCCAACAACAGGAAACATCTCCTGATGTCAACAAGCTCAAGCGTCATTTAAGGATAAATATTGATCAGATTTGTTTTGGAAATGAATCTCAGTAAATGCATTACTTGTGGACTGAGTCGCATAACAACACTGGGTGGCTGGCTGCTTCTGGTCTGGGGTTTCATTGATTCATCTACATGCTCCGGAAGCAGGCCTTTGTCCTTGCAGGAAAGTCTGATCCCCTACCTCCCCCCCCCCCATCTTGGAGAGCATTAAATTCCAACTCTCGCTTCATCTCAAACATCAATACAAGTGTGTCCCCACTAGGGATGGCATCTCACGAATAGTGGAAAAGCCAATCAACCTGAGAGACAGGACTTTGCCCATTCCGAGCCGATTCCTCTCATTTAACAAACAGCAGTGCAGAATCATCGAATAGAAAAATCACACCGTGTACCACACGCTTCGATTCTGCAGCATAAGCAGAACAATGCATCTAATCATGGCCACCCCACAGGGGCAGAATCACCCATGCGCTCAGGGGCAGCAGAGGGAAAAGGCCAGGGGTGTCATCTCTGCTGCCTCCTATTGGCCAGACAAGCAAGTGCGTCAGAGACCCAGACATGTGACTGATCTGACATCAGACATGTGACTTGGGCTGACCTCTTACATGCACAGCAACCGACATTAACAGCTCGACTACCAAGAGGGAGGCTGGATTCCTTTTCTGGTTGCATTCTTTGCGCAAACATCAGTCGGCCTTATATCAAGAAAAGCCCTATAATCCCCAATCCAAGATCCCCAGTTTAATCTGAACAGACCAACATCTACCAGGTGACTGGCTAAGGGCCCGGCTCCCTTCTGCTTTGTTTCACTCACTCTGCTACTAAAACCACTGACACACAAAGGATTATTTACAATGTCCCCAGAAAGAAGGAAAGATAAGGAGGCAACGTTGCAAAACTTCAAAACCATCCATCCGATGACTCTGGAGCGGGACAACAGCTCGGGAAAAGCGGTCGTAAATTCTAATAACTTTTAACTTGTTTTCTTAAAAAGAGGCGGAGGGAGCTCAAAAAGAAGCTCATTCCCTTAGTTTGTCACAAGAACAAGGACCTGAGATTCCAGAATGACCAGATGCATCCCACCACAGAGGGGCACCCCCTCCCACGTCCAACCCCTCTCACCCACTGCAGGTTGCTCTCTGTGATTGTTTGCTTTGGTCTGAAGGTGGACATTATCACATGCTCCTCCCAGGCAAAGGTGGACGATTGGACGTGCTAATGATTGGGATGAGGACAGTGATGACATGCAGATCCTAATCGGGCTGTTCATGATCTGGCGGGCAAGGTGTCACGGCAAAGATTTGAGGGGGATTTTTGTTTTAGGGTGGGGGGGGCACTCACCAGCTTGTCCCACCCATAAGGAAAGACAGACCTCTGAAAGGGACTGTTTGTTCCTGAAGCTTGCTGGAGCGACTGCGTAAGAGGTTTACAGAGATGCACACAAGAGTCTCATATGAAAAGCTGAAAATATTCGCACTGACCAGGAAGAGACGGGCAGTGAAGTGTCACTGGGTTACGGGGTTAAGGGGCAAAGGTCAAGGGTCATGACTCACCATGGGTCGGACGCCCAGGTTGGAGCTGCGCAGCGATTCGAGCTCCTCCGTCATCTTGGAAGCCAGGGCTTGCAGGTAACCACGAGCGTCCTTCTCGTCACTAACCCTGTGGGGGGGGGGGGGCACATAATCACATCACACACAGAGTCTTGGGGAAACAAACACACATTCGCGCCCCCACTGGGGACACCCACCACTGGATGATCTCCGCTATCTGTGCCTCCCAGTGGGCCACGCTCTCTTTCTTGGCAGCCAGATCCTGGAGCTCATCCTCCAGCTGCCGGTTCTGGGCCGTCAGTTTGTCCACGAATGTGCACAGCTGCAGGGGTGGGTGGGGAGCAGGGCGGTCAGTGTCATTAACCAAGCCTCCTCCCCAGGAGGGCGACCTCTGGGCCAAACTCTGGCCTGTCTCACCCGGTCGGTCTCTGCAATCAGCTTGCGGTTATCCTCTCCCAGCATGGTCCTCTCGCGCTCGTACTTCTCCTTCAGAGTCCCCATCGCCTCGTCCATCTCGCTCTGCCTGCACGCACGGACACACCGGCCTTTGTCACACCCTCCCTCAAAGACGTCTAGATGTAAATATCCACCATTTCTGAGGGCTGCATGTGTAAGGGGTGGGGGTCCCAGTCCCGGAGTGTTACTCGAGCTGTGGGCGGGGCTGGCGGTGGAGGCGGGGCTACTATCAGAGATGTGGGCGGGGCATGTGGGACTCACCGCTCACGCTTGTCCTTCTCCAGCTTGTCCTTCAGCTGCAGCACCTCCTTCTGCAGCGCCAGCTGCTGGCTCTCTGAGTCGCGTAGCTCTTTGCGCAAACTCTTCAGCTCGGCGGTATGGGTGGCCTCGCGCCGGCCCAGCTCCTCCTCATACAACACCGCCTTCCGGTCCAGCTCCACCCGCACCTTGGACAGATCCTGCTGGCTCTCCGGGCTGAGGACGCTGGCCCGACCGCTGCCCTGCTTCACCTGCCGGGGGGCATCGACACGAGTCGCGCACGGAAACTCACGGTCTCAGCACTGGCGTTTCCATTCGCAAGGGCGTCAAAGCGAACACGGCTAACGGTCACTGCTGCATTTTTCACCAAGTCACATGACCTGAAACAGCGAGCAGCATCCCCACTGCAGCCTCACGCAGTCCATCTGCAGGGGTCCCGGTCCTCCCATAATCACCCATTACATGCAGACGTTAGCTCTAGGCTTCCGCTCCCCCCGATGCTAAACGGATCAGCTGCGCAACTTGGAATCGGGAGCAGATGTTAGCGATAGACAGACATGACTCTTGACTCCCTGCTGTCTGTTATTTGTGGAGCGATGCGTCTCACTCTGAGGCTGTGTTTGTGTACCCTGCCGTCTGCCTAGTGCCAGCTGCCCCCCCGGGACAGACGTGTGGGGCAGACCGTCACGGTGTGAGAGCGCAGGTGGGCACTGGGTGTCTGCAGCTGGACAGGGACAACAGACGTCCTCCCCCCCGTTAGACAGCTTTTCTCTCTACATGTTCCAAGACCATTTTAGGACCGAAGGGGGGGGGGGGGCGGTGTCCTGATATCAAGCGACTGTGGTCTGGGGTCTCCTGTGTATCCAGTGCAGTGATGTGGGGGGCGGGGGGGGGGGCTCTGACCTTGAGTGCCTGCAGCTCGCCCTCCAGCTGCTTGCAGTACGTCTCGCTGTGCTCACGCAGCTTCCGCTCCTTCGATGCCTCGGCCTTGCTGTCGTCCAGCTGGGCCTCCAGCTGTGGGGGGGACAGAGCATGAGTCATCAGGGCCCTCGTGGGATGTGAACCAACCTCCCTCTGGGTATATTCACTCCCTGAATCGCCGTGGTACTGGCTGCCACTGTTCAGCCCAGCAAGCTAACCTGAAGGCTGCTGCCTGTCATTAGTTCCCATCCTGGTGTCACACCAAACGATGATGTTTCCGGTTAAACCATAAGCAGCGTATGTATGTGTGTGTGTGTATATATGTGTGTTAATCTTTTCCCCTCCCGCTTCACAACAGCACATTCCTGCCCAGCGCGTCACGGCAGAGGTCACTGGCCTCCATCTGGATGGAGTTAGGCTGTCCGGGGAGGAGAGCCCAGGCCCACGCTGGGGAGGGACAAGGGGAGGGACGCCGGCAGATTCCTGCTGAGGCCCCCGGAGACCACATTCACGGCAGATAAAGCCGGCGCTCTTGGCGGGGCTCTCCGCCTGAGAGCGTAAAAATCACGAGGGCGCATACCGAACAGGGAGGCACGCGCCTTTCATTAGCCCGCCGCGCGCCAGGATCAGCAGGGGGGGGACATCTGGGGGGCGGGGGATGGGGGATGCTGGGGGGAAAAGTTAAAGATACAAAATGTTTGGCATTCAAGGAGGGGAAGGCTTGTCGGGGGGAGGCCGAGTGCGCTACGCCTTGCCGGATTCCTCCCCCAGCGTACCTCCTTGCGGGCCTTTTCTGTCCGGCGGATCTCCTGCCGCATGCCGTCCATCTTCTGTAGGAGCGACTCCATCTCCTCCTCTTTATCGCGCAGCTGGCGGGAGAGCCGCTGCTTCTGGGAGCGCAGCTCGCTGACGCGCTCGCTCAGCTCCTGCGACTCCTGCAGGGCCAGCTTCCGCTGCTGGTGCACCTCCTTCAGCTCCTTGGTCTGCGACTTCAGTCGCTCTAGGGAGTCGGCCAGTTGCTGGCCGGGGGATGGAGACCAGACAGGGTCAGTATCGGGCCGGGGGGGGGAGGTGGGGGGAGGGACAGAAAGGCGGCAGCCTGACCTTTCCTTGCAGATTGTGGGGGAAAATTAAACTTAAAAACTGACCTGGGATCAGGTTCCTTCACAAGTTAAGATTGCTTAATGTTCATTCCGCACGTGCACCAATCAAACTCAACATGGCGTTTGTTTACAGTCATTCACACACACGGTAAAGAGACTGGATGAAACCACAAATCACCCCGAGGGAGCTACAGGGAGCATCTCAAACAGCATCGGTATGCCCATACCTTCTGGGTCTCCTCCCTCTCTTGTCGCAGGGCTTTCACCTGCTTTTCCAGAGTCTTCAGCTTGGTGGAAGATGTTTCATAGTCCTGTCGGAGGGTCACTGCCTCCTCAAGCTGGTGCTCCAGTCGATCAGAGTCTGAGGGAGGAGCAGGTTCATCAGACATGGCTTATCAAACATCTCCTACCCCCTAATAACATCTGGTTGTTTCCCATTGGATCAGCAACCATCTGACTTGTAGCTGAACTTGGACGATTCTGAGAGTTGGGGGATCCCCTGACCAGTATCTGGTGATGCTTAAAAGCCCAATGGGCCCCAGCAGACCCAGTCCCGGCACCCAGCGCTGCGCCCCGCACGCGTGACACTCCCTGGCTCGACGGCTCACCTGCCAACTTCTTCTTCAGCCGTTCGACCTCCTCGTTCAGCTTCTTAATCTCCTTGTCTCTACCGAGCGTGCCGACCCCGCGAGATGACCCATGGAGCGACTGCACGGCCTGAGTGGATTCTGGGAGGAGGAGAGGTACGAAGGAGTTAGACACCCGCTTGTGCATCTGGAGTGTGCGCGTGCGAGCGTGCGAGCGTCACTGTACCCTGCAGCTTGCGGTTCAGCTCCAGCTTCTCCTGCTCCAGCCGCTTGATGCGCCGCTCGAAGGCCTCCACTTGCAGGCCGCCGTCCGCGTCTCGCTGGACCTCCCCCTCCGGGCTGGCCGCCGTCATCGCCCTCTGCATGCTGCCGCAGTCGGAGAAGGAGCTCTCTGTGGTGTAGGTGAAGCCCACAAAAGGGAGGTGCTGGCCGGAAAACCCCGTGTGGGACATCGGGGGAACCACGTCCTGGATGGAGATGCACATGAGTGTGATAACTGCTGTGATCACTTGCAGTAGAAACTATAAACCGGAGCGGGTGGCAGGCATGTGATGTGGGCGTCGCTGAGGGCCAGAGCGCGAGAACTCTGAGGGTCACACACCGGGTTCTTCAGCACGTCGTCGTCCACGTCGAAGTTGGAGGTGTCGGAGGGTGAGCTGACGTCGGGGATGTACGGCGCTTCCGTGTGGCGGATGTGCTCCCAATCCACGCCCCTGAAGAACGGGTGGCATTTGAAGTCCTCGATGCCGCTCTGGCCCATGCGTCGCTCCCGGCTGCAGATGAGCCGCTGGATCAGGTCCTTGGCATCTTCCGACACGTCCGTGATGTGGGACGGGAATTGGAAGCGTTCCTGGAGAGGGGGGTGGCGCGTAATGTGATTGAATACCTGCCAGCCTCACACCCAGCCCTTCTAATCAGACTGACAACAAACTCCCTCTGCTGAGAGTAGATCTTCCAAGGTTTCACATAGGGAACCTTTCTGAGTGTCTGCCGTACCACACGGGCCGATTGTGCTAAAGGGCCAACCAATGACAGCGAGCTAAGGGCCAGCCAATGACAGCGAGCTAAGGGCCAGCCAATGACAGCGAGCTAAGGGCCAGCCAATGACAGCGAGCTAAGGGCCAGCCAATGACGGCAAGCTAAGGGCCAGCCAATGACAGCGAGCCAAGAGCCAGCCAATGACAGCAAGCTAACTTCCCTCTTTTTTGGCTCTGCACCACGGGAAACAGTGGCCATGGCCGCAATACACAGATCAAGTACGACAAATAACTCAGAGCACACAAAAAAGAAAAACATTTCCAGGAAAGTTAGCATCCAGTCCTGCACAAAGAGCTAGGATCTAGGCTCAGTGTATTACTCACTTCGTGGTTCATGATCTTGCCATAGGTCTCCACCAGCGACTCTGCATAGAAGGGCGTCTCGCCATACAGCATCTCGTACATGCAGACCCCCAGCGACCACCAGTCGCACTCGGGCCCGTACTTCCCCATGCCGTCCTCCATGGCCTGCAGGATCTCTGGGGAGATGTAATCCGGCGTGCCGACCGCAACTGAAGACTGCACCTGTGAGGGAGCAAGCGGGCGCTAATCGCAGCAGGGCGAGAGACCGTGCGGAGGCAGCTGGGCCTGCGTGGCTAGACAAGAAACCGCCAATCATCGTGCATCCGAAACCAGCCATGCGTTAAGGCGGCCTCTGCGAGTCACTTGCCCAGGGCTGCAAGACACGTATTACTGTCTGCCTTGATGCTTTCAGCGACTGTCAGCTGATTAACACCCAACAATGGTAGCGGAACCTGCCTGCACAGCATCATGCATAAAAAGGCTCCGTTCTGTGGTTGAGCTAATCAATGAGGGAGGCAGCTTTCAGGGCTGACTATATAAGTTCAAAAGGGCGACACTAAAACCCAGTTAATATCGCTTTGCTGGGACATCACAAACCCAGTGGCATCAGCCATACCTCGGCTAAACAATGGCGCTTCAGCATACTGGGAGGATGGGGAAGCCAGCGAAGACGACCGAAAGGCCTATTTACAGGCCTCCTGCTGGGGATTAGCTGTGTTCCGTAAAACAGACATTCAGTGATGAAAACAAGGTGTATGCTGACAGATAGAATTAAAACTATCAAGGCAGGACTGTTAGCGAGTAGCAGCTAGCATGCAGTCCTGCCTGGTGACAGGCACCTCAGGTGACCTATGCGATTCGCTTTCTTTCTTATGTGCTCTCTGCACATATGGAGTTGAAGTCTCTCAGAGGGGATACACATCATGAATAGCTACCATTTACATGTGTGATTCCTGTGACGCCCCTCCTGCCTGGACCGCACCTCCTGCCTGGACCGCACCTCCGCTCATCCTATCACCCGACTGCTCTAACACCATCATCCATAACATCACTGGACCATCTGCATTTACACCCAAACTTTAAAAATTTAGAGCTATAAATCAGGACTTCGTTAATTTGACTCCCTCCACTGTTCTCAAGAGGATGGGCCCCCTCTGAGTCTAGTTCCTCCCAAGGTTTCTTCCTTTTAAGGAGATTTTCCTTACCACTGTTGCCTCTGGCTTGCTCACTGAGGGCTTTGGGCAGGGATAATGTAAAGCGCTTTGAGACAATGTAATGCAGTGAAAATGCGCTATACAAATAAAATTAAAGTGAATGGAACAGAATTGAACTGAATTACACAACACCAGTGTTTCCCAGTTTTCGGCATACGAGAATTATAGATCCCAATGTCAGTTCTCAAGATGGTCTTCAGAACCTTCTTGTGCAAAGAGATCCATAGCCGTCAAGGGGAACTGCAAGTCTTGTCATCCATCAATCATCAATATCTACACACCTCACTGCAAAACAAAAGCCCAACTCCTCAGCCACCAGGAGAATTCAGGGATGGCCAGGGTGGACACTCACCGTCCCATCGTCCATCATCTTCAGGCACGAGCCGAAATCTGCCAACCTGATATGGCCGTTCATGTCCAGCAGCACGTTGTCCGGTTTTATGTCCCTGAAACGCAAAGCGAATCAACCAGTCAGCCCAGCAATGGTTCCCATGACAACCGATTCCCCAGAGACCATCCTCCTATAACAGCAGATCAAGCGAGCTAATGAGAGGGCAAAGTGGGCCAGGGAATATAAAACATCTCCAAAATATGGCATCTCCCATGGGCGCTGCTCACCGATGCACGTAATGGAGCTGATGGATGGAGTGGATGGCGAGGACCATCTCGGCCACGTAGAACCTCGCCATGTCCTCCGGAAGACGGTCCTCAAACTTGCTAAGCAGAGTCAGCAGGTCTCCGCCCACGTAATAATCCATCACCAGATACTGCGATTAGGGAGTGCAGACGTGAACCAATCAGCTCGCATGGCTAAGAATGAACATGGTAAAGAATAAACATACAGCTGCTGAAGAAAAAAATGACACCCAGCCTCTAATTAGCATAAACCAAGAACAAAAGCACAAAAAACAAATTGCGCTCGTTCTTTGGCCAAGACCAGAAGCGTCAGGCTCTGTAGTTGATGATTGACTAAACCCTGGATGTCCTGACACAAAACCATAAGCTCTATGCAGATCAGTAGGCAACAATCATTATCATGTAATGGAGAATTCCTGTACAGTTTGACCTTGGTAACGTTCAGGATGCACCAAGGAGTCTGATGATCCAGACACATTCTTGGGTCTTGGTACGTATCAATTGCCTTTTTGAAGTATTCAAATTTAAGGACGTTTCCACGGTGGGAAAATAAAAATCTAACAACAAACATCTGGGAGCTACTTTGAAGCAAATAGGACAGACGCATGACTGAACTCCATGCCCTCGAACATTAAATTTGCTAATTTAATTATGCCATTTCAGGAGCAATCAGTGAATTCTTGGTCTTTCCTCCCCATCACGCAATGAGCTCTGCAACATTTTTTTTTTTTCTTTTAACAAATGCAACTCAGTGCAAAATAGCAAATTGCACACAGGTCACTGCCAACTGCATAAAATCATAAAAATGGGCAGAATTTAGAGAACGTAAGTTCTACATTTTTGCACTGCAACATGCTGCTCTCACTTCTTTTGAAAACTCCATGAAAAATACAGTTCCACTACGAAAGTACTTTGAATCCAGACACAAATGAGCCGTGACCAATCCAGAAAATTCCTAATCATCTCAAGGAAGGCTTCCTCGCCGGCTTGTAGCTCATCACAGCACATGCTACACAGGAATCAGTCATTACTCAGAAGCGGACCCTGAGGGAGGAGGGAGGGCGGGACAGGAAGGAGCTCCGGACAAACTGCGTTCCTGCTCACCAGGTAGTTGTCGTCCTGGAAGGCATAGTGTAGCGTTGTGATCCACTGACAGTCTCCATGAACCAGCACGTTCCTCTCCTCACGGAAACAAGCCGTCTAGGGGGGAAAGTCAATTACATGGGTCACGCTTGTGTAGGTATGACAAGCACACAAAGCACAAAGGAGCGTTCAATCAAAGATAAGGAGACAAACATTTATTGTTCACTTGCTAAGGAGATAAATTTATGTCTAAAGTAATTGTACTTAAATGTCATGAAGATGTTGTAATTTTATGAGACACAAATCCATATTCAGAGTCGTAATTGAGAATCTCCGGCCGCCGCCTAAATTTCACGAGTACAATCTTCATTTTACAATCATGAATCCTAATTCACGAGTTGAGGTTCAGGTTGCGATGATGAATCACAGTTCATGCGTTCGCAATTTCAGTACTACATTTACAAAAACTAGATACGTGGGACAGTTATGTTGCCTGTGGCCAATAGGTTTTGGCAAAGTCATGTTCAAATTCTGATAAGAGTAAGGCGGACGGAGAGCTCCAGAGAACCGAGGGGACTGAGCTGACAGTGGAGGTAACCAACTAGGAGCTAGAAATTACCATAAGAGTTAGTGGACAAGTACAATATATGCAAACCATCTAAATACAAAACAAAAATCTTGTGAACTAATACAATGATTTCTTACAATAAAAATAGTGTAACGAATAAATGACTGGAATCCTTTATAACTAAATCAGTTGGTTTCAATGACATGTTCAATGACAATGAATTGTCTTGACTTTGACTGCACTGTTGTTTCGTCTTTTATTGAACTGTTGTCCTATTGTCCACGCCATGCACCCGTCTTATGTCTCACATGCATCTGTCCCCTCTGCTCCAACTGTGTCATAAGAATCTGTGTTCCTCTAAACACACGACAACCAAATTTGAAAAACATGACACACACACACACACACACATAGATACTGCCTCCAGTATCCTATGATACTGCCCCCTTCTGCCCCCCCACACACACACAGACTCAGATACCCACAAACGCAGATAGACAGATAAGAGCCAATGGCTTCCAGCTGCACTGATGCACCCACACATCCCCCCCCCC